TTGATTGGGGGATGTTATAATATAAAAAGGGAAATGAACAGACTTACGCTAATGGACCGAGAGAAGTGAGCCAAAACCAATTATTTCCTACGCTGGGAAGGGCTATGGTGAGAACCAGGGAAACACTGGCTAAGCTTATGCACGTGCAGAATGTGAGCAGTGCCGTTTGTCCCCGACTTGGACTCATCATTCCCTCAAACCTTATTTCACCAAAATTACAATAGTTATATTCCCTTTACACTTAACAGAAAACAGTAAAACAATTGGAATAAGGTTGCCATAAACTTCTCTAAATGCACTTAAACTTCTAAGGTCCCCCAATATGTGTCTGACTAAAAATGGTCATAAACTAGTGTAGGGCACCCATGTCAGTTTAGTGGGAGGGTAAAAACAAAGGGTTGAAAGTCAAAACAAAAGTGAAGCTGATGAGAGTGAAAACATAACTATTTCTCTTTTAGAAAGTATTGAAGGCCCCAAATGTCCGAAAATATTCTAAGTGTTTGGCTAACTTACAACTCAAAGGAATGGAGGAGAATGTATTATATTCCACTTCGTAGAACATTACAATTGGTGGCCTTATATAGGCATTACAAGTGGAGTAAAATAATCCCTAGGAAATACAATTTACCTTTCCAAGAAGACCTTTCATCTTTTCAATAAAAGTAGGGAAAGATAATTTATGTTCCCTAGGAAGTAAACTAATTAAGATTAATTAATTAATCCCAACAAATTCCTCCCCTAATCTTAATTCTCTTCGGTCTCTCATTCCGAGCCTTTTGCTTGTAACCTTTTGCAACAAGCCGAGCTTTGTATCGCTCGACCATACCTTCAGCATTGCATTTCTTCTTATACACCCATTTGACTCCGATCGGCTTATGACCTCTCGGGAGATTGGTAAGTTCCCAGGTCTGATTCTTCTCAATCGCTTTTATTTCTTCGTTCATGGCATCTCTCCATTTTCATCGTGCTTGGCTTCTTCAAAAGTAATATCCTCCCCATCGGCTAGAAGACATACCATGTGAACCTCTGGAGCTGCTTCATATATGTCCTGTATGTTTCTGTACCTTTGCCGGCTCGTCCCTTCTTCTTCTTCCTCGTCCCCGGGGTCGTCATAGATCCCGCCCCGATTGGTTCTGGTGTCATCCCGAGCGGGATTGAAATTGGGGTCCCGCCCGGGGTCTCTTCGTCATTTGAGGTCCCGTCCGGGACGTCCTCGTTATTTGAGGTCCCGTCCGGGACGTACTCCTTCTCTGTGTTCCAATCCCAGCTTCCTTTTTCATTTATCTCTACATCTCTGCTCACTGTGATCTTTTTCTCCTCGGGATCATATAGTCTGTACCCCTTTGTCTTCTCATCATAGCCAATGAAGACAAGCTTCTTGCTTTTGTCTTCCAATTTTGTCCGTCTCTGATCGGGCACATGTGCGTAAGAGATACTCCCAAACACCCTCAAGTGTGACACGGTCGGCTTTTGACCACTCCATGCTTCTTGAGGTGTTAGATTTTCAAGATTTGAGTGCGGAACCTGTTCTGTACATACACCGCACATCGTACCGCCTCGGCCCAAAATTGCTTTGGCATATTTTTGCTCTTCAGCATGGATCTTACCATGTCCATAATGCTCCGGTTTTTTCGCTCGGTTACCCCGTTCTGTTGAGGCAAGTACGGGGCGGTAAGGAATCTTCTAATTCCTTCCTCTTCACAAAACTTTGTAAAAGAGTCTGAAATGTATTCTCCCCCCCGGTCTGACCTCAACGCTTTCACCTTCAGTCCGATTGTCTTCTCCACCTCGGCTTTGAAATTTTTGAATGTTTTAAAGGCCTCCGATTTTTCTTTTAGAAAATATACCCAAGTCTTCCTGGTGTAGTCATCAATAAAGGTGATAAAGTACCTTCGCCCACTGAAAGATGATGGCGTGATCGGCCCACAAATGTCCGTATGGACTGTCTCCAATGCTCCCTTGGCTCGGTACTTGACAGTCTTCTGAAAGCTCGTCCGGGTGTGTTTCCCAAGTACGCAGCTTTCACAGAATTGCTTTGGAAAATCCATCTCGGGTATTCCATGCACCAAGCCCTTTTTGCTCAGCTCGGCTAATCCTCCAAAGTTCAAATGTCCGAAACGTAGGTGCCATAATAGTGACTTGTCCGTCAGGTCGACTTTCAAGCACTTATGGTTTACGCTTCTCAAGTCCAACTTGTACATTCTGTTCTTGGCCATCTCTACCCGGGCGACGGCCCGGCCTCGTCTATCCTTCAAGTGCAGGTATCGACCACTTAGGTCGGCTGAATACCCTTTCTCCATAAGCTGTCCCATGCTTATGATATTTGTCTTCATGCTCGGGACATAGAGTACGTTTTCAATTGCCCCCTCTTGTCCATTCTTTTGCAGAAATTTAACCTTTCCTCGGCCTTTGATAACTACTTTTGATGTATCTCCAAAAGACACATTTCCTCCCTCAGCCTCCTTCAACTCAGTGAATAAATGTTTATAACCACTCATGTGGTTGCTCGCCCCGGTATCCAAGTACCACGTAGCGTCGTCTGTTAAGCTTCCTTCTTTGTGTGCTAGTAAGAGCACTCCTTCCTCATCTCCATCATCATCCTCATGCTCAACAACATTTAGATTCTCCTCCGGTTTTGGTTTCGACCAACAGTCTCTTGCGAAATGTCCCCGTTTCCCGCAATTGTAGCATTCCCCATCGGGTCTGCCTCCCCGACCGCCTCGGGCAGCTCCTCTACCTCGGCCTCTCCAGGTCGGGCGATGTTGGTCCTCCCGGTTCTGGTGGGTATTCTCCTCTCGGTTGTAGTCTCCTCTTCCTTGGCCCCGACCACGGAAGTGACCTCGGCCTCGGCCTCGGCCTCGGCCTCGGCCTCTCGGTTGATGGGCATACATTGCCTTCTCCTCTACCACCACAGTTTGTAATGCCTCTTCTAGCGATTCTAGCCGCTTCATCTTTCTTTGTTCATGTGCCTCCAACGACCCCGACAGGTCGTCAATGGTAAGCGTCTCAATATTTCTAGCTTCTTCGATTGTGCATACCACGTTCTCGAATTTGTCCGTAAGTGTTCGTAGAATTTTTTCTACTATCCGACTCTCACTTACGGTTTCACCATTTCTCTTCATATGGTTTGCTATGGTCATCACCCGATTAATGTACTCGGTGACCTTCTCGTTCTCTTTCATCCGCATAGTCTCCAACTCTCCTCGTAGAGTTTGCAACCTCACTTGCTTTACTCTTTCCCCTCCTTTGAACACTCTTTCGATGATGTCCCAAGCTTCTTTTGAAGTTTCGGCATCGGCTATCTTCTCGTGGATGGTGTCATCCACTGCTTGAAGCAACCAAAACAATGCCGTTTGGTCCTTCTTTTGTGCTCCTTCGAGTTCCACTTGTTGGGCAACCGTCAAGACGGTTCCTTCCTCCGGTGTTGTGTAGCCATTATCGACAACATCTCATACTCCTTGTGACTTCAACAGTGCTCTCATTTGAGCATTCCATCGGTCGAGTTTGCTTTCTTCAATTGAGGTAGTTGGCCGAACATGGTGGCTGCCATCTTCTTCAAAAGTGGCTCTGATAGCAATTTGAAGGCCCCAAATATCCGAAAATATTCTAAGTGTTTGGCTAACTTACAACTCAAAGGAATGGAGGATAATGTATTATATTTCACTTCATAGAACATTACAATTGGTGGCCTTATATAGGCATTACAAGTGGAGTAAAATAATCCCTAGGAAATACAATTTACCTTTCCAAGAAAACCTTTCATCTTTTCAATAAAAGTAGGGAAAGATAATTTATGTTCCCTAGGAAGTAAACTAATTAAGATTAATTAATTAATCCCAACAAGTATATCCATATGTGTTCCTTAGATCGAACTTCTTAATTAACTGCATTTGGTCAAACTTTAATTATACAAAACATTCAAAGGGTTGTTTGACACAATGTTTGGGTTGGATCATTTATATGAGATTAAGAGTGTTGATTGCTTTCACATATAACGAATGGATAAGACGTTATTTTCAAAGTGTGTTTATAAAGTTAGAGAACTGAAACATGCATCGTTTTCTTTTGGACTGAAGTTTGCTGATTTATTCTGATTTGGTCTAAATTGATCTGGTCTGGTCTAGTCTAGTCTGATATTTGTGTATTTTATAACTATGGAAGTATGATATTTCCCCAAAAAAAAGTTTGTAATTCCCTTTCCTACTCAAAACAAAAAGAAGGATAGGATAGGATAGAGCAATTGGGTGGTGGTGGCCGTGGGTAAGCATACTTACGTGATGGTCTCGCCTCTGTTCAACACCACAAAATTGTTGCGAGTGAAGAACGCCTGAATCTCCCCCGCCACTCTCTTCGCCGCCTTCTTCCCCTCCTTCCCTGTCACGAACGTCTTCTTCACAATCTGCCACACGGATCATCAGCTAATCAATACATCCCAGCCTTAAAATCCACTAGTTTCCCAATTCATTCTCACCTTGGATTTAACCGATCGTTTAATGAGAGACCAGACACCCGGAACAGAGATGACAAAGAGGCCCAACGAGGTGTAATAACTGGCCAAGGAGTACCCGCCGCCTTCCTCCGCCGCTGCAGCGAGCAGGAAGAAATAGGAGGGGCCGTCATTCTGCAGCTGGGGAAGGTCAACGATATGAGGAGGTGCGGCATTGATGAGGTGTTCAAGGGAAGATAGACTGACTACTTTAATCAGGCTCTTCTTGTGGGTTCTTCTCGTTGTCGCCAGGTGAGATGCAGGAACTCGGCCTAGCGGCGGCCATGGGTGGTGGTGGGTAGTATCAGAAGCGTGATATGGAGGAGGAGAGAGCAGCAACAGCTTTGTTGCCATCATCATTATCATTGTTTATTACTCCGTATAACAAGGGCGAAAGAAGATACTCATACGGCAACCATGGTGGAGCTGCCTGCCTATTCTTGTCCATCAAAACATTTATTACTAGTAAAATTCACCTTTTAGGAAAAATTCACACTAATAATCCAATCTATTGACAATCTTCTATTATTAATCCCTTCTATCGGTTATTTTAAATTAATACCAATTAAGGGGTAAACCTACTCCAAACGGTCTGTTAACCTGCAGTCCATTTATCAGCCGGTAATTAAAAATCACGTGATTGCACGTGATGAATCTTTTATGTTAGCAAAGGCCACAGACGATGGAGAAAGCTTAAGGAGAATAAGGACGAAGGAGAACAACCAAAGCAGCAACCCTCGCGACCTTGCGTGGAAGAATCTGAGTAAGGAGCGAAGTACACAAACGAAAACAATCCTCATGAGGTCCGTCAGTGGGTCATCTTCTTGGACATGTAACTCGATTACGCGTAATTGCAATCACAACATACAAGCGAACTTAAGAACGGTGAAGAAAGGGCGAAATCTGGGGAGAAAATTCTTTGGATGCTCACTTTGTCCTGTAAGTATCTTGTATTTAAGTTTTCACAATATTAATTAAGGTTGAATTGAAGTTACCAACAATAATTTGGTTTAGTATAATTTAGGGTTTGTTAGAAGTAATGTTTATTGGTCGGAGATTGTACGAATTAGGAAAAATTTGTAATGGTTTTGTTAGAATCTGGTTTTGACCTTAATTTTTCCTAAAGACTTCACTTTTTCCTGTAATTGTTTTGTTAGAATCTTGTTTTGACCTTAATTTTTCTATATTAAGGTTGTGACCGAAGACTTCACTTTTCCCAGTAATGGTTTTGTTAGAATCTGGTTTTGAGCTTAAATTTTCCATTGAGGTTGTGTCTGAAGTATGTCCTACTTAAATTTTCCATTGAGGTGGAGTAGTTGACATGTAATTGTGGTGTTGTGAGTTTAGAATGCAGATTGTAGGTACTTTGAATGGTACAATGACAATGAGGTGGAGTGTCATGATGAATACAAACTGATGGACAAAGACATAGTCATTGAAAGGTTGTTGGCAGAGAACAAGTTCTTGGAAGAAAAACTGCAAAAGATAAAGAACAAGAAAAAGAAGATGTGTGTTCTGATAACTGAAATGCAGATGAAGGCTTCCAAAAGTGCTAAAGGAGAAAGAGCTGCTATTATGGTTGTACTTGTATCTTGGATAGTGTTTGCTATTCTAAGTTATTTGATGTGAAATGTATTTGAGTAAACTTTGTAGTCATGTACTTTTTGAGGTTGTATCTTAGGTCTTGTAAGTTATCTTATATGTTTGGAAGTTGGAATGTAACAGTCAAGAAGTTTACAAGTTGAAATGTAACAGTCATTCTATCTTTGCACTACTTTTGAAGAAGTGTAAATTGTATGCTACTATTCTGCCTCTACCTCTTCTTGGATCTGACTCTTTCCTTTCCTCTTACTTTGTCCAGGAAGCTTACCTTCAGCAGCTTCCTTTTGTAGTTGGGTAGCAATCTCAACTATCTTAACATTCCAGCCCTTCACTTGTTCCCTAACCCTTTGATACTCTTCATCACTAGTTTCTTGATCTGAACCAACCATTCCATCCACCATATTCTCCCTATCTTCACCTTCTGAAATATCAGCTTCTAGGTCACCAAGTTCAGCATTTATTATGTCCTCTTCAGATGGTGGAGTGTATTCTGGGTCAGAGGAGTCATCTTCTTCATCCCATGTGAACGGACTATGGGGTCTATCACTTTGAAATGCAGCTGAATCATCTGTGAAGGGTTGTGAAGTACCTACACATTCCCCAATTTGAGCACACACCTTTGCAGAAGCATGACCTTGAAAAGTGGAAGAAATTGCACCTGTCAGTCTCTTCACTTTAGCTCCTCCCCTTGGACTAAGCTTTTTCTTGCTCTTGGATGATTTCATCTCTGGAAATTCAGTTTGTCCCCCATATTCAATGGCTTCAATTAAATCTGGAACATCAATGCCATGAATGACATAACAGTCTATGCACCTGTTCTTTAGCACCAGACTTATCAAATCCCTCACTTGATCATCATGATATGCCCTTTTAAGCCCTCTTCATAGCTAAGATTTGGAATCATGTAGTAAATGGCATCTATTGTGGAGTAATCCCCACATTTTATAGCCAACTCTTCTAACCAAAACCAGCACAGTTCATCTGCATTTATATCGAAGGTCCTAGATTCACCTACCTCCCACGTATTCTAGTGTTCCCATGTTCTTCTTCTTAAACATACCCCCATGCCATATGCGCAAACTGACATGAGTGTCATGTATTACCTAATATGTTAACAAATAGATTGATATGAGGCACAAATCAAAGGAGTGAAAAGTTTGAGGAATCACATTTTTGAAAGCTATCAGTATCTCTGCTAGAGGCTATTAGTGGAATATAGTTGTATTACATTGCATTTTTAGTTTGGATTTATCCACTCCATTTTAGGTTCTTTATATTTATAGATACAATTGTTACATACATAAAATTTGTATATAACTACTACCAGTTTCACCATTGAGGGATAGAAGAAACCTTAGACTGTATGATGGAGTATATTCCCGTACACCCCAGGGGTACCGCGATCGCCGGTAGAAAGCCTTGCGGGTTCATCGGGGGCAAGAAAATACTAAGTCCATGTCTGGATCCAACCCCGACCCCGACCGTCGAGGTCGGGGAACACCAGGCTCAGGAATCAAGTAAACTCAACAGATAACAGGGTCCACCGACCCCGACCTCGAGGTCGGGAAACATCGAGCTCTGGAGCCAACCAAACTCGGCGATCCATGAGCCTGACCTCGGGACATCCGAGGTCGGCATCAAATCTGACCTCAGAAGCCTTGCTCCAGGTCAACACCAATCAAAGCACCAGGCGGTCAAGTCACCTCCAGAGTGAGAACGGGAGACAGCAAAACGAGTCCTCTCAACATGGGCCCGAGCCCCCAGATACCGACCTCAGTAACCCTCGAGGTCAGGAGAAAAGTACCCTGTACTTAGGCGAAATCCGCAAGGGCTTACGTCGTGAGGAGACATCGCCACGTCACTCTCCGCACTGGTAGAATACGCCGGATTGTCTGCACACGATCTCTGGCAGGAATTCGGTTGGAAGAATAAATCAATCAGCCAGCTATCAGAAGTTCTCTCTCCAATCAACTTTCCACGTGGCTGCTCCCGGTTCATTCAGGCTGATAGTTTGTTAGAGTAGCTTTACACGTGCCCCTCTCCTATTAGACTAGAATCTTTTTACTTGGGCACCAAGTATTTCCTTTTCTCCTTAGTATAAATATCACCTTCCAACTTGTGGATAGGGATGCTTAATCTATTGCACTCTTGAGACTCATACACTGGGATTTTGTTAATCGGATACCTGACTTTTCCGTCCAGTTCACTCTCCCCTTTACTTTCATTCTCGGTGGATTCCGGCTACCCTGGTCCGACGATCCATCACTGTACTAAATGGTAGAATCAATAAGTGAAACTATATAATTAGTATCATACAATATAAATCTTAACAAACGAACATAATTAACACCACAAAACCAAATGAAATGAACTAAACCACATGAACCCTAAATCCCCCTTCCCCCAATAATGTTATACACGAACAATAACCCCAACTATACACGAACAATAACCACAACGAAGAAGCTTACCATTTTCTTGCAATTGGAGCAGCAGTGTATAAGACCGGGTACCAAAGCTTTTAATCCTTTGACGGCTGGATATGGCGGTCAGACCTTCCTCTAGAGAGAGAAGTTTATGGGGTGGATAATGCGTTCAGGGAGATCAGGTTTGAGAGCTATGACCTTTTGTTAGTTACATATTTTTAAAATTAACCGGGTTAGCCGGTTGCCTATGCGTGAGAGTGTTTGGGGAAGGTTTACCCCTTAATTGGTATTAATTTAGAATAACCGGTAGAAGGGATTAATAATAGAAGAGTGTCAATAGGTTGGATTATTAGTGTGAATTTTTCCTTTTTTTTATCGTAAAACAGGCGGCTTTATATTAAAATCGAGAACGCATACAAAACAATTTTCAGACAGATTTTACAGATCCAATCGTGAATCCTTGGAGTAGACATAGAATTAGCCACCTCATACAAAGCAACCTCATTCGCTAAACCTGAAACGGGCAAATTTAAGCCTAAAACGAACGGATCTGAAACCCTGCCTATCAAAAGAACTCCAAAAACCCAAACATTCAAACCAAATCTACTCGGACTAAAACAAAAACAAGTACTACTAAAGAGAAAATAATGTTGAAATAAAATCTTTCCACAAAACTCTTCTTGGTATGGAGGTGGTTCCGGAGGAGGACGAGCTCTTGCAATATGGAGCAGCCGACCAAGGCTTCACGATCCAGCACTGATACAAACTCTCAGCCGCAATCCGTTTATCCGCCAACGTTATCTCCTTCAACGTAGTTGCAATCCCAAGCATTAAAACACTTGTAATCAGAATAATCTGCCGCTCCAGCCCCATATTGATAGGGAGGGCGGAAAATCTCAACTCCTTCAAAGAGCGGAGACGGCCGCTAGGATTTTAGAGAGAAGCAAGAGCTCTCTAGGGTTTTGCTATTACTAGTAACACTTAAAATTTTCAATTCTAATACGGAGTATATTTAAATATATTTTTAGTCCCTATAAATATTACACTCTTTGTTTTAAATTCTTGTAAAATATTTTATTGTTTTAAATTCTTGTAAAATATTTTATTTTTTTATCTTTATAATATGCATTATTTTATTTTTAGTCAATCTCTAATTCTGAAACCACTTAACTTACAAAAAGTGTTATTGTGAGTTACGTATACCTACTAGAATAATTTGAATTTGTCCTTTTATGATTGTTTTCAATCTAATATGAATGTTACAATGTAACAGTAAGTATTTACATTTTATAAATATATATAAAAAACTTTCTAAAAAATAAAATTAAATACTTATAATACTTTTTAATAACATGATAAAGAATTAGCAGGAATCTATTAGTTGTGGTTATTTTGAGTTCAAACAGAGATTGTTATCACCGATCGTGGACTAAAAAAACCAACATAAATTATGTAACACCGTCCTCAAATATATTTACTTTTAGAGTAAATGATGCAATGAACCTTATGGAATGATTAATGAATTTACGAAGTTGAAATTTTTTATTATTTCTTTCGCGTGAATAGCAAATTGCACGTTGGACCCACACCGGGAGCGGGGGGCACCCGATATTCCTGAGATCAAATAAACCCATGTACTAACCAAAAAAGGTCAAATAAGCCCTTATTTTGGAAGTTCTGTCCGGCGGTCTCCATTTGGGGTGGTTCCCGATGGAAGTTCTGATGAAACTTTTTGAGCATCTTATTCATTCAGACTAGTTTACGCATACCAAATTTCAGCTAAAACTTCAATCGGGAAGGCATTCAAATGAATTCTTGAAAGTAACGGTGAAGTTAAAAACACAGTTATCTTCAAGAATTCATTTGAATACTTTCCCGGTTGAAGTTTTAGCTAAAATTTAGTATGAGCAAACTATACTCAATGAATAAGATGCTCAAAATATTTCATCAAAAAATGTCACCGGGAACCACCCCAAATGGCGACGGCCGGGCAGAGCCTCCCAAATATGGGCTTATTTGACCTTTTTTTGTTAGTACATGGGCTTATTTGCCCCTTTTCCCGATATTTTATCCATATTGGTAAAGATAATATTTACATGGTGGTGGATATTTTATTTGGGTCATATAAAGGCCAAGGGTTGATCGATTGGCCAAAAGCGGCCCAATTACTTGTACCGACAATTTATCAGATAACAGCCCGAAATGAATTTCAGAGACCTCTAAAATTAAAGTTTTGGAATATATATTATTCCAAAGGGCCATTTCCATTGAGAGTAAGTAATATATTTTATTTGACTCGATAAAATAAAATATAATTAAAATAGTCCGAGAAATGCAACTTTCGGGGCCGAATGTACATTTCGGGACACAAAGGGATGACCTCCCACATGGGTGAGGGCCACCCCACGTTTTTGTGTACTCAATGAGTAATATGGGGGCTTGAATGACAAAGGAAGACGTGGAGGAGGATTTTTGGCATCAAAAGTACATAGAGGACCCCCTCCCTCGCTCATTTGTCAATTAAGACAAAAGTGAGTCATCCTCTCTCCCTCCAACCTATGTGCTCGGCCAGACCACACAAGGAAGAGAAAATGGAGCTCTCCGTCCAAAAGGTTGAATCCCCAACCCCAAGGGCCCCCCCACCCCGACCCAACGGGATGGTGGGGGAGTAAATCACGGTGACTCAGCCGGCAAAGCAGCAGTAGGCCTTTACCCGTGCGCACCAGAGGGCCAGTCTTATTTCAGGTTCTGAAAACCCCCTTTTGGCCGCTGTGGGATTCGAAC